CTCGAACTGCGGTCGACTTTGTGGGAGTCCAGTGACATAGCCATTACACTAACTGCTGGTTCCTAACTCTTGATTTTTAAAAGAAGCTTGGGTGGTAATGTCTCTTTATTTGGATATTAGACATCAGTGATGTTTTCTGGTCCACCTGCTTTCCCACAGTTCATACCTACGTTTTTCCACACAGGTTCATCGTTCTTCATCTCTCCTCCATTGTGGACAACAGCCATTTGGTTTCTTTTGTAAAATATCTAGAGGAAGCCATGCTCAGCACCACAGCTTGCATAGTGCTGGCTCATCAGAAGGACAATCCACATAGAGTAGCTATTTTGGTGGTATCTTCTAAAGATTTAAAACAAGTGCTTAAGACCTTGAGCTTGGATGGATTCAGGGCACCTCTAGAGCCTTCTCGTCATTTCCAAGTAAGAGAAGGAGAACAACTTCTTTTAAGGTTTACTGGAAACATATTTGCATCAAGTAAGTATGAAGAATTCTTTCTACATTTTCTTTGGACTATAAACCACACACTTCAGAAAGAGTTCATGTACCTTAGTATATGAACAGACAGAGAGAAACAGAGAGACAGACAGAAAGCAGGAAATCACCCCTCAGGGGGAATGGCCACACCACAATCCCTTCTCCTCCATTCTCCTCTCGGGATCTTGGGCACGTACGTACATGCGCGCGGTGTGAGTTTAAGCCAATGGGTCCAGAATTCAAACTGCAATCGGCTACATGGGAGTCCAGCGATGTAGCCATTATGCCAACTGTTGGTCCCTTATATATTAAAGGTTGCTTTTAGGAGGAATCAATAGGTTTTGCCAAGATTTAAAGGGGTCCTTGGTACAAAAGAGGTTAAGAACTCTGGGTCTAGATGACATACCCTTCATCCCTCTCATCCTCATATTTATTTAGTGTTATTTTTGTACCCACTATAAATCTCAATCATAATGTGGAATTATGTTTCTTATTTATTGGTTTACTTTTTGTTCATAAGCTCATGTGATGTTCTTCACTGAAGTGAAAATTGAATGAGGGCAATGCCGATGTCTTTCTGGTGTCATATCCTCGGAGCCTAGCGTAGTACCTGGTATATCACAGCCTTTCAGGAAATGTGTAGTAAATGAAGGAATATGTGGCAATGCAAGGAAAGCAAGCTGAATGAGGAATACCAGGGGCAAGAGAACCGAAGGAAGTGATGAGACAGAAAGATAAAGTGGCAGATGAACAGAAGGAGAAAAGGAAGATAAAGAACACGGAGAGAAAACAGCTGTGTGAGAGGGCAGCACAAAAGGCCTTTGGGGAAGCCGCCATCATGGCCATTTCTTTTTCATTGTCAGCCCTTTTCCCTCTCTAATTCTTTTCCCGAAGATGGAGTAGAAAATAATACGTGTGCATGTGAAAATGGAGAGAAGAGGAGAATTAAGGAATGGATTGTATGGGGATTTCGGCCCAAGAGCCTGGCTACAGACTTGACTTTAGGCAACAGGATCCACTCATTTAGAAGTTCATGTATAGGGGACCAGCAGTTAGTGTAATGGCTATGTCGCTGGACTCCCACGTAGTCAACCATGGTTCGAGTCCAGGACCTGGTGGCTTAAACTCACGCCGGGCACGTGTGCGTGCATGCCCAAGATGCCGAGAGGAGAACGGAGGAGAAGGGATTGTGGTGTGGCCATCTCCCCTGGGGGGTGATTTCTCGCTTTCTGTCTCTCTGTCTCTCTCTGTCTGTCTGGCAAGTGCACGCGCCCTATAGCGAAAACCTCTCCAAAAAAAAAAAAAAAGAAGAAGGAGAAGTTCATGTATATACCATGAATGGAATGCTATCTAATTTCTATCTAATTCAGGAAAAATCCCAATGGATTTTTGTTGAATCCGAAACAGAAATGATAAGGCTTAAAGTAGGCATGGCGCTTTTCCTGATTTCTCAGAAATAAGTGAGACCCAAAGCCTCCCAATTCGAAGTGTTTCTTACAGTCTCACATAAGGGACTCAGCCATCTGAGCCAGCTGTTGGGACTCACTGAGCGAGGAACAAGGAGGTCGGGGTAGGGGGCGGGATGGGAGAGGAAGGAAGGGTGGATGAAGTCTCTTCCTACTTGGCTTCCGGAGCAGAAACCACAGTGTCCACCCTGGGGAAATCACTCAAAGGAGGGAGAGCCAAACCAGAAGTCTGCTGCCCAAACTAATGATGCAAATGATTTTCCTGTAATCCTGAGGAGAGCAGCTATGTTTACCTTCTCCTCTAAACAGGAGCGAGTTACTGTCTCATGGGCAGTGATTCTGTTTCCTGTTGCCTGTAGTGGAGACTGGGGAGCACATGTCACTAAGAGTCTCTAAAGACAGCTACACAGGTGCACTCCCTCCGCAGATGGGATGGAGAAGAGCCCATCTCTGCTCCAGGAGAATGTCAGTAGTATTCTCAGATCTTTTCTGCGATGTTTTCCTAGAGACCCATGCTCAAACTTGGAGCCTTATTAGATTTTTCTCTGCCTAAGATGAATGACTATCTATCGGTTATAGATCAATACTTCATCCTTCCACCTGGGCTGGTGGCAGTCTGTCAATCTCAAAGAGATGAAACCAGAAGTTCTCTGCCTAGAGAGTTCTCCCCAGCTCTGCCTTTGTCCCCAGTTCTCTCCTACTGTGTTTTCAGAACTCACCTCAGCGATTATGTTCAGAGAAGCCTTCCTTATTCTTCCTATCAGTCTTTACAGTATGTTTAAAAAATGTTAAAAATTAGTAAAAACAGATTGTTTTCTTTTGCAGATCTTCACTTTGTCTTTTGTGGCCTTTGTCCTTGATGTAATTCTCTATTTATTTACTCTTGTTCACATGTATGATCAGAGCCAGTTTCTCTGACTACAGTCCTTTAAGGACAGGGGCTGCCCTGTTGTAGCACCATCCAACTCCCCAAATCCAGATCTGTGAGTGGCATCTAGAAGGAGCTCAGTGAGTATTTTTTGAAAGAAAGGAAACACAAAGCTTGGGGAAGAACTTAACATTATTCAGTGCTATTGAATATATTTTGAATTTTAATGAATTTGGGCTATTGTTCTTTGAGAAATGCCAACATCTCTCTACCTAATTATATAGACTATAGATGATTCTTTTGAGTGAGGGTTATGTGGCATGGGCTCTATTTCTTTCTCCCTTCCTTTTTTTTTTTTTTTTTTTTTAGAGAGAGAGATTTTCACTATAAGGCACGTGTGTCTGCAGGACGGAGAGATAGAGAGACAGAAAGTGAGAAATCACCAACAGAGGGGATGGCCATACTGCAATCCCTTCTCCTCCATTCTCCTCTCAGGATCTTGGGCACACATGCACACATGCCCGGCATGAGTTTCAAGGTGCCAGGTCTCAGACCCAAACCACAGTCAGCTATGTGGGAGTCCAGCAACGTAACAGCTCCATCATCTGCTGCTCCCTGACATAGGCTCTATCCTTAGTTTTACGCATCCGCTAGAAGTCTTGGGATGTATCCCCACAGATAAAGGGAGACTATAGTATTCCTACATTTATATTTTCTATGATGTCACTGAAAAAATCCAATGCTCAATGAAAGGGAATTCTATAAGGAATACTTGGCAACCCACAAAATAGAACTCAATTCTGACTTCTTTATCTGAGATTAACTGAATAGTTATTGTGTCAAGGCCCTTACTGGAGATCATATGCAAAAAATGTTGAGAAGGAAATACCTTTTGCCAAAGGTCAACTGATGGTTGATTTCACTTTTGTATATGCAACAATGGTTTTTGCTCTCACTTCACTTAAAAATTTGTCAGTGAAAAAGAAAGAAAATGTTGATCGAACAGTACAATTTCTTTGTGCTACTTGTTTTATTTTCCCCCACCAAATTAGCCCTCAAAATAGTGTTATGGTGTAGCCACAATGAAACTTAAAATTAAAAAGTTACAAGGATCTTTTTTTTTGTTTATAACACCAAGATTATGCTATTTATTATGCTACTTACTAATGAATTATCAACTTTATTCCCATTTCATATATAAATGTAATCTTTAGAGTGCTTCATTGCAAGTTTTCATTTCTAAAATTGGACTGGAAATAAGAGGTAGATAAGTTTTAGATCTGAATTGAACAAATGTAGCCATGCCTCAGTTCTCAATCCTTATACTGTATGTCTAAGTCATTCCTTATGAGAAAGTTGTGCACCTGGCAGGGAGCATAATGTCTTTCAAGGGAGGGAAGGAGAAATTTACTAAATGATGTTCTATTGGGATCAAAGTGGTAATATTTTTCTCGATAATCCTCCAGGGTTGTGGAAACAGATATTTTCCAGGTGTTATTCCAGTGATCTGGAAATTCTAATTTACTGAACTCCCTATTTAGGTCATATTCTAAATATGAAATAACTTCTTTTTTTTTTCACCAGAGTGAAACACTGAAGAAGGCAAAACCTGTCACGTCATTTATCTTAGGGGAAGCTGTTTTGTTCAAATAGCCAGGTTGCCTCTTAAATATAGACTTAGGCAAAGAGATCTACTCCAATACCTTCTATAACCTGGAATTATTCTATTTCTAGATTTAGTTGTGTTTTAGAAATGTACTAAAATGCACTAAAATTCTCTAGCAGTCGTAACAGGGAGTACAGTAGAGGTACCTTCAGTATCTTTCATAGAAATCTTCCTTTACTGGGCAAAATGGGAGGTTTTGCATGAGAGCTAGCACTGGGTAATTAACTTTATGCCAACTCATAGGAGCAAAGGGATTTTTCAGCTGAAATATAAAAAGTACATTTGTCATTTATTTTAAAAATATTAACTGGGTTATTTTTTGGCATGCAATTCAAAATAACAGAAACATCCTATAATTGCTATTATTTATTGAGTACTCACTATGTGCTAAGCTCTGTGGCAATCATTCTATCCACATTATTTCCTCTAACTCCCAGAGCAATCCTAGGAAGTAAGTTTTATTTCTCTTGTTTAAAAGATAAGGACTTTGAGGCCAGCAGGTGGTGTGGTGGTTGGGGCACTGGACTCCCACATGGCTGACTGTGGTTCAAGTCCTGGACCTGGTGATGTGAAACTAACCCTGAACACATGTGCATGTGTGCTTAGAATCCCAAGGAAGAATAGAGGAGAAGGGATTGTGGCATGGCCATTCACCCTGGGAGTGATTTCTCACTTTCTCGCTCTTTCTATTTCTCTCTGTCTCTCCAGTGAGCATATGTATCCTATGGCAAAAAAAAAAAAAAGGCAAAAACAAACAAACAAAAAAACTCTCCCCCAAATAAAATAAAAAAGATAAGGACATTATGACTCTAAGAAGCACTGAGATGTAAAATCACTAGACAAATATTACAGTATAGGAAAATAATAGCGGCTAAACATGAATCTAGGTTTTTGGCTTTTTTTTTCTTTTTCCTAAAACTTGCTGTCGAGGCTAAACATGAATCTAGGTTTTGTTTTTTTTTCTTTTTCCTAAAACTTGCTGTCGGGTGCATTTGCTTGTTGGAGAGAGGCAGAGACAGAGAGCGAGGAAGTGAGAAAGCACCTCCCCCAGAGGGAATGACCATGCAGCAACCCTCTCTATTCCCATTGTCCTCTCAGGATCTTGCCCATGGACACACATGCTCACAGTGTGATTTGTAAACCACTGTCACAGGACAGAAAGAGAGAGACAAAGTGAGAAATCAGCTTCCAGGGAGGATTGACATACCACAATCCCTTCTCCTCCACTCTCTTCTCATGATTTCGGATATGTGCGCACACATGCCCACTTTTAATGTCAAGCCGCCAGGTCTAGGACTCAAACTAGGACTCTGTAGGATCCAGCTGCCTTAACCTCCATGCCACCTGCTGGTCCTGTGGAAATGTTCTATATTTGCCCTATTCACTATTCAGTAAAGTAGCCACCAGACAAGTGGCTATTGAACATTTTATACATGGTTAGAGTGACTGGGGAATTAAATTGAAATTTTTACTTTGTGTTAACTATTTTTTATTTATGTTTACATCGCCATAAGGAAAGTGCAATTTTAGCATGTGTGGTATAAGTACACGATGGTGTTCAACATAATATGAATAGGTGAAAGAGGAAAAAGATATAATCTTGTAGAATGAAAATAATTTTCTAAGTATAAGAAGCTGCATATTTCGGGAACCAGCAGTTAGCGTAATGGCTATGTCGCTGGATTCCCACGTAGTCGACCGCGGTTCATGTCCCGGACCCGGGGGCTTAAAAATCACGCCGGGCCCGTTGGCGTGCATGCCCAAGATCCTGAGAGGAGAATGGAGGAGAAGGGATTGAGGCATGACCATCCCCCCGCGGGGTGATTTCTCGCTTTCTGTCTCTCTGTCTCTCTCTGTTTGTCTCCGCCATAAATGAAAAAACCCTCAAAAAAAAAAAAAAAAAAAAAAAAAAAAGAAGCTGCATATTTCCTGTAGTTCCTTGCTAGAGCAGACAGAATAGAAAAAGACCATCAAAGATGGTTAGAACCAGGGCTAGTCAGAGAGCACTTGCTTGGCTTTGTCAAATTATGTCGGCAAAAAAGCAATGGGCAAAAAAGCTCCACTTTTATTTAGAAAAATGAACCAATTATTTTGATTTTATAAAATTAAGGAAGACAGGGACCACAAGATGGCATGACGGTTATATCGCTGGTCTCCCATGTAGTCAACTGTGATTCGAGTCCCGGACCTGGTGGCTTGAAACTCATGCTGAGTTTGTGTGCATGCATGCCCAAGATCTTGGGAGAAGAATGGAGGCAAGGGGATTGTGATGTGGCCATCCCCCCCTGGATGGGGGTGATTTCTTGTTTTCTGTCTCTCTGTTTCTCTCTGGCTCTCCAGAGAGCAGACATGCCCTATGGCAAAAATCTCTCTTAAAAAACAAAAATTAAGTAAGACAAAGTGATATATCTTCCCAGTAACAAATGCATTTTACTTCTATTTAGGCAATGGGAAGGATTATGCAAAAGACTATAAACTTACTTTTCATCTACAAAGAAAATCCAGGCTGGTACTCCAAATCAAAGAAGTGGATGAATTTGGAAACTATAGTTGCCCTTATTATAAAGGCACCATTGTAGTTTATAAAATACCTAAAGAAAAACGAGTCTCCAACATGGATCACTCTCTTCTACTTAATGAAAACCATGATCAGTTGCCAATTTGCAAGTTACCTTTGAGATTGCCGAAGGTGCGTTGTTTTGCTTTACTAATTGCTGTGTTTCATTCATTCTTTGTCATTGTCAACCACAATTTTCAATGCATATGGATGCATAACTTTAAAATAAAAGGTAAGAATAAAACTAAAGAGGAAGCATTAGGTAGGTCCAATATTAGTGTGGTAGACTATATGATACAATTTCTCCTTTTTTTCATATCGGTTTTTCTAGCAGGAGAAACTCAGATCATCTGTTCCTCACATTATGTATTAATAACTTGGAAATAAAGTAATTCATTTTGTTGTAACTGGATTTGAGTAAATGAAAATTAATTTATGAAAATACTGAATATACTTCAGAGCACATTTAAGAAAAAAAATCACGCTGAACAGAAAAAAAGCATCAAAATATTTTTACTGAAACTTAGGAAATTCTGTGTTTGTTTTATGACTTAATTGTTCTTATCTAAAATTCTTTTTTTTTTTTTTTGGAGAGATTTTCACTGTAGGGCGCGTGCGCTCGCCAGACAGACAGAGAGAGACAGAGAGACAGAAAGCGAGAAATCACCCCCCAGGGGGGATGGTCACGCCACAATCCCTTCTCCTCCATTCTCCTCTCGGGATCTTGGGCACGCACGCGCACGCGCCCGGCGTGAGTTTTAAGCCACCGGGTCCAGGACGTGAACCGCGGTCGACTACGTGGGAGTCCAGCGACATAGCCATTACGCTAACTGCTGGTTCCCTTATCTAAAATTCTTATTCTGTTTTTTATTTTTTATTTTGAGAGAGATAGTTTGCTATAAAGCACGTGCACTTGCCAAAGAGACAGTAAAAATCACCCCCTAGGGGGTGGCCATACTGCAATCCCTGCTCCTCCATTCTCCTCATGGGATTTTGGGCACACATGCACACGCCCAGTGGGACTTTTAAGCCACTGGGTCCAGGACTCATGCGATGGTCCACTATGTGGGAGTTCAGCGATGTAACAATTATTCCATCTGCTGGTCCCCAAATTCTTATCCTTACCAGAAAGTAGAGATATATTATTTCTCTGAATGTGTCAAATACACAATAAATATATTTTATTGCTTACATGCAATTTCTTTCAGTGATCTAAGGCTTAGTACATCTAAGTGATGTTTCCAATGAGCAATATAATTGAAAAATTATATTTTATCACTCCTGAGGAGCAATGAAATTCTAATTCTTTAAATAACGTTACAACTGCGTCCATCAGGTGCTATAGTGGTTGGCTGACTGCGTGGTTAGAGGCCCAGACCCAGTGGCCTGAAAAACAGGCTGGGCAAATGTGTGTGCATGCCCAAAATCTTGACAGGAAAATGGAGAAGGGATTATGGAATGGACGATTTCTCACTTCACCTCTCTGTCTCCAGCAAACGCACATGCCCTATAGTGAAAAAAAAAAAAAGCAAGTTGAAATTGTTCCTGTGTCTTTATTTTTTGTATTTGAATAGCAAAAAATGTGTTTTCCACAGGGTTAGACGTGATTTGGACTCAGCGATTTCTTGCTTTCTGTCTCTATGGCAAGTGCACACACCCTACAGTAAAAATTAAAAAAAAAAAAAATGGCGTGCTGTAAGTATGCTATACAACAAAATTTAAAGTATGAACTAGTTCATTAGTAATTTGTTTATATCGATTGCATAACAAATGTGTAACTTTCAGTTATCAGGTTAAATAAGACTAATTTTATCTATTAGTTTTTAAACTTTTGTATAGGTTTTTGTTGATTTTTTTTTTTTAGGTTTTTGATGTAGAGTGTGCATGACTGCCAGATAGAAAGAGAGAGGGAAAATGAGAAATCACCTCCCCACCTCAGGTGTGGGATGGCCATGCTGCAATCCCTTCTCCTCTTGGGCGTTTTAGGCATGTAAAAACACACACATGCCCCAAGCCACCAGGTGTGGGACTTGAACCACAGTCAGCCATGTGGGAGACCAATGCCTTAACCACCATACTGCCCTTTGGCCCCAGTTTTTAAACTTTTAATATGGCTATTAGAACAGTATAAGTGATTGATATATATATATATATATGTATATATATATATATATACACACACATCCAACTATGTTTCTATGGTACAGTATTTCTTTAAATAAATTTATAATCCAACAGGGTATGCAAAACATGTACACATCATTACCTTCCTTTTTTTTTTTTTTTGGAGAGATTTTTGCTATAGGGCGCGCACGCTCGCCAGACAGACAGAGAGAGACATTAGAGACAGAAAGTGAGAAATCACCCCTCAGGGGGGATGGTCACGCCGCAATCCCTTCTCCTCCATTCTCCTCTCGGGATCTTGGGCACGCACGCACACGCGCCCGGCGTGAGCTTTAAGCCACCGGGTCCGGGACATGAACTGGCGGTCGACTACGTGGGAGTCCAGCGACATAGCCATTACGCTAACTGCTGGTTCCCTTACCTTCTAAGATAGTAATTTTAGCAATAGATTGATGATATGTGTGAGAAATACACTCATCATCCAATGTCAACGAATGGACAGGGAGACACAAGGTTTGGCAGAGTGAGACTTTAATGGCGGTCTTGCAAGTTCCTGTGTCTGATGGGCAGGCACACCCAGAATGGTTCTAACAAGTAATTTATTCCCAGCGTGCAAGTCCCTCCCCCAGTTCCTCATTGGCTGAGTACTATGGGGTGTACAATCTTCCCAGACGTTGCCTAAGTTTTATTATTCTCTTGTTAGGTATTTATTGTCCCCCTTCTTCTTTTGCCTGACAAAGGCACAGGCTCAGGACAAACCCATGAAGAAGGCCCACCAAATGTCCCGAGGAGGAAGTGAAAAGGAGCAAAGGGCTGGTGACCAGCGGCCACCTTGAGAAGTCATTTCTCAAGAGTGACCTGTTGCTTGGGGGTTTTCTGCCTGAGGTGCAACCTCTTCTCTTAACGCTCAGGCTAAGGAGCTGATTTAACTCAACAGGAAGACGTGGAGTGGAGAAGTGGGTATCAGGGTTGCTCTTGGACAGCTCAGTTTGGCACATTTCTTCAGACAGCTCTGTGTGGTTCTGCTGCGGTGGGTTGACGGCAGTGAGAAAAGTCAGGGGGCTGCTGGGGTTCTCTGGCTGGAGGTGACGAGGGTCTTGTATGAGGACGGTAGCAACGGAAAGAAAGGCCCTTATGTACAAGAGGACCTGACATCCCAAAATGGGACATGAATTCAGCTTTCAATTATCAGTGTTTTATCTATGGCCCGAATTTATAAATTTATTATCTGAACTAGCCAAGTTACAGCATCAAAGATTTATGCAGATTTTCCTTGGTAAAAGTCTGTGTTAGTTGCTCAGGACTTTGGCATAAGCCTTTTCTCTGCTTTCATTCCACACACCACTCCCAACCCATTTGCTTGGGGAACTGCAAGGGGTTCTCTTAACTTGTCTATTCAGTGTGACCTCTCCCAGGAAGCCTTCCCTGACTGCCCTCTTCCCTACTGAGTTAGGTGTTCCTGGGGGGTAAACCAACACACTGTCCTTTCCACCTACTCCTGGAGCAACTATATTTCATTTTAATCACTTGCTTATTGCCTTCCAGAGAAACAAGAGTTTCTCACCCTTGCTGTTCCTGCCTTCCTAGGGAGTCTAATAGACATCTTTTTTTTTTCCTAATCACCACTCCCCGTGAAATTTTATTACCACATATTAACAGTTGTGCCTGTTTATATGCTGAGTGTATATTTGTGTTTCATACATTGAAAGAGAAAGCTTTTTTTTTTTTTTGTCTCACCGAAGAACAACTTCTCTCTCCCTGAGGGTGATGTTACCCCACGTGAGACTGTGTGCAGCTGCTGAGCAGATGTGGTGTCATTGTCCTGCTCAGCCTCGCACCGTCAGCAGCCAGCAGAGAGCGTGTGCTGGGTGCTTATTAGCGAATAACTAGAAAAACGAGATCATTTCTGCCAACCTTGCAGCTGTCCAACCGTAAACTTGTTCATCTCGAATTACATTGGCATGTTTCACCATAGCGCATTTGAAAGGTCTGCCGTCTTCTGTCAGGGCCTCCACTCCAGTAGGCTGAACTTCCACCCTTTTTCTCTCAGGTGGGTTTGCAGAGGACTTTCCAGATTCACCCTCAGCCTCTTTTCAGGCCCAAGACTTCCCCAGTAAAACCAATAAGTATGTGAGGGTCAAGAAAGAATCTGTGGCTATGGAGACGTTTTTTCCCTTTTTTAAAACTGGCCTACTTACACTGGAAATGAAACCCTGACCTGAATTTTGGTAAGAACAGACATCTTCCATGAAGTTCAGAATTTGAAAAATCCACCTCCGTCGAGCAGCCTGTTGTGTTTCAGGAAACAAAAGTGGTCTTAGTGTCGTGGCTTGGCATTCATGAACACAACATGAGGCATCCGTTTGTACACGTGGCCGAAGTGACGGGAAGGTGTTTGTCAAAATTAAAAGTGTTTTGCACGTTTAATGCAAGCAAGCAGTAAATGTTTGTTGTGTGTACGGATACTCGTTGACACATACCTAATTGTTAGGCGTCATGTTAATGTATTGTGTCTGATTTCCACAGATGTTGAAGACATCACTTTTATTTATTTATTTATGTATTTATGTATTTATGTATTTATTTATTTATTTATTTATTTATTTATAGGTTTTTGCCATAGGGCACATGCATTCACTGAGAGAGACGGAGAGAGACAGGAAGAGGGAAAGTGAGAAATTACCACTTGGGGGCATGGCCATGCCGCAATCACTTCTCCATTCTCCTCTCAGGATTTTGTGCGTGCACACCCACGCGCCCAGCATGAGTTTCAAGCCACCAGGTCTGGGATTCGAATCACAGTTGGCCATGTAGGAGTCCAGCATCTTAACCACCATGCCACCTGCTGCCCCAAAGAAAGCACTTTTTTACTTTGTACTTGAGAGCCTCTCTGTCTCGTCTCTTTCAGCCTCCGTGTTTCATTCATTCCTACGATAATTCATTGCACACACACTCTCTGTCTCCCATGCAGCTGATGTACAGTGATGTTTCTGTGTGTGGTCTTATCC